TATTTTAATTTTTACAGTATCCCATAGAAATAAAATCAGCCCTGGGAGAACTGGAAGTAATTCTAGAAAATGATGTCCCCTCTCCCAGCAAAGTTTGTCCTCAGGGTTTGGGGCCTCTATAAGGAGTTGGTTATAAATGGCAGATAGTTGTGGGTGTAAATGAAATAGGCACATGGATTTCTGTTTTGATAAAAATTCAAATTACATTTGTTACATTGATCATGCTCCTATTTCTGTTTACAATATTTGTACACCTATGCAAAGTTATTTTGTCATATTGTATGCATGCATGTTTCTACCTCTGTTTAATATATTTTGTATATTGATGCAAATTTAGGATATATTTATCATATGGTATGATTCCTTTTCTGATTGAGATATATATTGTTTACATATGGAAGTCCCTGTCTACATTTGCTGCACATTTGTTTACAGATTCTTTAATATGAAGCCTTAGTCTTTAAGATATATAAGTATTCGGATTGAGAATTACAGGTCAATAGTCATCTATGTTTTTAATACTTATAATTAGACTAGTCAGGTTTTTTAGATGCATAGAAATTGTATTCTGCCTACGTAGGTAATCTTCAAATACTTCGAAGAACTGTAGAATGTGGCATTTAAATAATTTAGGATTATGTTGGTGTGAGGCACAATGGTTCCTGACAGCACCTATCTATTACTGAGAGAATGTTGGGTACCAAAGACACTCCACTTGGAGCTTTTTTCTTCTTGGAAAAACTGGCCTTTGGGCAAAAAACTCTCCCTACTTCAGCTACTGAGAAAATGCACAGTTGTCCAAACCAGACAAGCAGGATACAAGCAAAAAGACTGCCAAACCTTGTCAAGACAGGGTAAGACAGTTTTTCAAATTTTTCTGCCTCTCTGAAAATGGTCTGTCAGATAGATACTCTAGGCTTTAGCCAAAGTTGGTTACCCCAATATTGCAAATGAGATTTTGGGTGATTTCCCAGGTAGTTGGTTATCTCTGTAATTTCTTATACTCTTTAAGAAGTTGCATGATTACACTTCCTGTTTACTCAAGTAATATTATTTTCCTCTTAAGGTCTTTAATGGAATTGATGTCTATATAATTATAATTAATTTTCTCTTATGACTTAGCCAAGCCATTTTAATATAAAACTTAGACTTTTTAGGATAGGATAATTATTGAAACATAGCATATGTTTTTTGTTTGATTTTGTTCATGTTGATTGTAATTCTAATTTCTATGTATGTTTTTTCCTGTTCTTTTCCCTGTACAATATTTGATATTTGTTCCTATTGTATATAATTTTGTACTAGACTTAGAATTCTCTTCTTTAGACAAAAGGGAGGTATTGTAGGAACCCTTTCAGCCAAATAGCCTTTAAAATACTGGGTCACTTTGGGCATGGTCTCATGTACTATAAGTGCACATGAAAAATGTGTGCAGCTGTCAGAGTCCCAGACCAGACCCGAACACAAACTATCTTTCTTGACCAGCATCTCTATGGGGAGTGAGATTCTTAGTGATTCCTCATAAAACCCTGAGTTCACATGCTGAAGAATTCCTCCTCATTTATTCTCCAAAATTTCTTTATACCAAAATGTAAATTGAGGGGGAAGTACATTAGTATTTTGTTTCCTAGGCAACCAGGTTAATGGCTTTTAGGCATATCCACATCTTCCTGTGCTTGCTGTCACATTTTCCTGGTCTGTATGCTAGCTCAATCATATTAGCATCTCTATTCAGGCATACCCCAAATTATAGAGAAGGAGCAGAGCAAAACCCTGACCTTTGATTAGGGTAGCGACAGCCTGTCTGGAAGGTTATGTGACCACTTCAGGTACTAACTATAGCCTAAGAGCCTGGCTGTCACACCATGTAGAAATATGGGCCTATACACAGCCCTCTATTCTGCTGGATTAATTTCTATTTTCCAGCATAGACAGAAGACTGTGGATCACTACCCTTACTGTGAGTTTATCCCCAAATAAATAAACCTTTGTTATACTCCATCCCGGGCTATTGTGGAACTCTTTGGTACAACTACAGAAACCTGCTCTTATTTATTTATTTTTCCCACAGGAGCAACCCATGCTAGATTATAACATGAAGGGACCTGCTTGTTGGGGTTTATGCCCTGCCCAGTTTCCCACAGCTGGCAAGCCCCAAAGAAAATCACAGAGTCTACATTAGGTTATAAACTGATTGGCCCATCAGCTCAGTTTTCTTATTAGCTCTTGTAGCTTATATTAACCCATTGTTCTTATCTATGCTAGCCACATGGTACCTTTCACAGCAGGGCAGATCACATGTTGCTTCTTCAGTGATCTGAGCTGGACTGGGAGGAATGGGCTTCCTCCTTCCCAGAATTCTCCTGTTCTCATCACCCTGCCTCTACCTCCTGTCTAGTTGACCCGCCTATACTTCCTGCCTGGCCAATCAGTGTTTATTTAAAACATGATTGACAGAATACAGACAATTCTTCTATACAAAAGAAAATATTCATAGTCCATTTTCTGGGAATGTGGGTGTAGTTTTTCAGGCTACTTCCTCCTGGTTGGGGGCACTGATAATCTTATGGGGACCTTAAAGAAATTTAGTTATGATCAAGTCCTGTGAGTCTTGATCATCTCCGGCAGCAGTCTTGAATCTGTTCTGGATGTAGAACTCAGACATCTGAGATATCTGTTCCTACCAGAAATTTCTCTGGTGGTCTTCCTTGATTGACCCTGATTTTTCTTAACTCATAATGAACCCACAGCCTCTCATTACCTGTGGAAACAAAAGGAAATCCTCTTCTCCAAAGTAACATACCTTTTAACTTCAATTTTGAAGCCAAGGTATTTTCAAAATACCTATCTTGGATTAATTCAGCAGCATTTATTAGCAAATACCTTTTAGCAGCTGTTGCTCCTTCCTCAGCATTCAAACAATTCAAAGAGAGCATAATGACAAACAGGATAAAGATAATCTATGTATTTTTCATTTTTATGTGGCTTTATTTTAACCTCTATTTCTTTTATTTTTACTTTGAACTTTTGGCTTTTTGACACAGGTTCTCTGTGTATCTTTGTCCTGAACTCCCTCTGTAGACCAGGCTGTTTTTTAACTCACAGAGATCCACTTGCCTCTGCCTCTCAAGTGCTTGGATTAAAGGTATCCCCCACCACACCTTGAATTCACAGAGGTCTGTCTGCCTCTGCCTCCCAAGCTTTGGGATTAAAGGTGTGTGCTACCACACCTTGAATTCACAGAGATCTCTCTGCCTCCCAGGTATTGGGGCCAAAGTTGTGTACCACCACACCCAACTACTCTCCTTTTCTCTCTTTCTCTTTTTAAGGACTTTAACCTTTAGTCTGCATATATTTTTAACACATAGTAAAACATTTAGAGATTTTCATCTTTGAATCTATCTTTACTGTTTATCTCTCTCTTTTTCTGACCACATAAGCTTTTAATTTACCAAGCAATATGGGTAGAATTAAAGCCGTGGCTTTGATGGCTGGATCCAGCTCATTCCTTAGCTTTATGAAATTCCAGCCTCATGGCAGAGGTACCATCCAGAGCCATGTTTATTGCCACAACTCTATGAAATTTAAGGTCCTTTCCAGCAAGCAAGCTGCAACATTCAAATGCTCTCCTGGTAGCCGACCTCCTGCCTCAAAGAGTCAGAGTTGACACTGGCAGGATGGCCCAGGAAACCAGCATTTTAAAGAGGCATAACCTTTTTCATCAACACTGTTTAGGTGTTTCATGGCAGGGCCTCTTAAAAGAGCTGCAAGGTTTTGCAGCTAAAGCTGAGTGAGGAAGTCTCTCTAGCAAGCAGAGCAGACCTGAGAAATTGCTGCTACCAAGAAAACATGCTTTCCTCTATTCTTTCCCAAGCTTTCTCAGGCTTTCTGTGAATGCACTTATCCACATGAGCAGGCTTCTTGGGGTATCTGTCCCACCCGGTACCCCACAGCCAGTAAGCCCCAAAGAAAATCATACAGAGGACTCCATAAGATAATAAACTGATTGGCCCATTAGCTCAGGCTACTCATTAGCTCTTTTAGCTCATATTAACCCATTATTCTTTCTATGTTAGCCACATGGTTCGGACCCTTTCTCAGCTGGGTAGGTTACATCTTGCTTCTCAGTGGTCTGGGCAGGACTCTGGAGGGAGCTTCCTGCTTCCCCAATACTCCTGTTCTCATTGCCCCGCCTCTACTTCCTGTTGGTTGACCCACCTATACTTCCTGCCTGGCCAATCGGCGTTTATTTAAAACATGATTGTAAAAACACAGACAATTTTCCCACACCACTAGATTCCAAGAGGAACATCTTCAGTGCATAGTGAGGGCCATTAGTTATATAGGAAGATGAGAGATCTCTGTGAAGGGGAAATTAAATATGTACTTTAGGGTCATTTTTAAAAGTGATTTGGGATGGATTTTAAGAATGGATAAACTCTTTTGTTCTGTCATTTTAAATTTCTTACTTAAATGTTTAGTTGACAATGCTATGAATTGCATTCACTTCTTTTGTGTATGTATGTATATGTATGCATAAACATGGGCATTCTTGAGTGTGGAGGGACAAGGTTGATACTGGGTGTCACCTTTACTCATTCTCCACTAGGTCCATGAGACTGGGTCCCTCTCTGAAGCCAGAGCTCATAGATTCCAGCCCATCTAGCTAGGTAACTTTCTTCTTCAGCTTGTCTAACTGTATTCCAGATGCTGGACTTCTAGGCAGGAGTCACACTTACCCAGTATTTACATGAGGCCTGAGGACCCAAACTCGGGACCTCATGCTGATGAGCCATCTCCCTATTTCATTTGAGCTTATCTGGTTCAATTAGTTATATTATCTACTTAACCTAAGAGGTTATGTTATTTGAATGTTTGAAGTTTGAAATTTTATTCAGTATTTTTGACATATCTGCTGAATTTGTAGAGTACCAAGGCAAATATAGCAGAATATTTTTGTACATGTGGAATGTCACAATGTGCTCTTCTATACGTACTCCATGATTTCTCCCACTGTCTGCTACCGTTTAGAGGTGAACAAGGGCATCTACTTCAGCTATCCAACTCGACGACACAGCTGTGCTTTGGTAAACTTCCCTACACCATGTGTCAACAAAATGATTGCCCACATTGAGGATGTAGAATCCAAAATACAGGAGCACTTGAAGCAAGTAAGTGACCTACTTAAATCTGGGGGCTTAATTATATACATATCAAGGAGTTATTGATTATTTTGAGAATTTATGCAAAACTCAGAATTATAACAGATTAATCTGCTAGTCTAGGCATGTTTTGATCGTCTCACACTAGAGGGTTCAATGACCTCATTAAAAAGATTTTTCCTGTTTGTTTTTTTATCATAAATAGTCATGATAAGTTGTCATTTCCATAAGCCAATATAACTAAAAGTCAAATATAATTCACATTTTGGGATAAAAAGTAAGCAAACCAATGAAATGATAAGTAAATTTCTAGTTTGAAAAGACAATATGTTTTTTAAATGAGTTATTTTATTGCTAAATAAATATACTAGGTCTATTGATGAAGGTAAAATGTTTTTTTCTTGGTCATGTTGACCTGTCAAATTCTGCCTTAGTTATTCTAAAAGAAGTTCTATATTGAACTCTCTGCAAGTTGCAATCATTTAATTTAGAAATGACTTACTGAAGAATCAAAAAGTTCTCTTATTTCTTACTAAAATGAAATCCTGGATCACTAACACACATTGTTCAAGCACATCTTTCCTTTCTTTTTTTTCTTTATTTTGGTCCCTGGATCTGACCAATACAATGTTCTGCTCTAGAAAGCTATCTGCTTTGAGAGGTATTAGTTCAATGGTTAAGATCACAGGATTTGAAAAGACATGTTATGTGACTTTAGGTAGGGGTAAGAGATCCTAGCAGTGTGCTACATCAAGTGCCATAAGAGGAAGGATCCCAGTGCACACACATGAGCTACTACTGTGAATAATAATACTCATTATTATTTAATAATAGGTTCAATATTATTCTATGACAGCATCTCTTTTGACTAAACATCTCTCCAAATCAGAATATGCCTTAATTCAATTAAAAATCACAGAGCAGATGGGTTTTTTGGTCTGGGATAATATTTAAAGAAATAGAACAGAATATTTATGGACGATATGGACGGTATGTGCTAACCTTTCCATATACATTCTAATTCGCAATTATCCATATTATTTAAAATGATAAAAACAGATCTGCAGATACCTTGTACACTATTATTGTAGGTACTGTTCATTGAAATCCTAATGTCAGGCACATCACATATTTTGCAGTTTTGTGTCTCTTTGATGCCTAGACTACTGTTGAATGCTCTTGTGCAGTGACACATGGTAATTTATACTTTAAAATAATTCAGCATCTTGTTCGGCCAGAAGACTATTTGTTGCCACCAATGACAGAGTACATAACCTGAAAACTTAAGACAATAAGTATTTCCCTTGGTTCATACTTTAAGACACATTTTGTAATGACAGCATAGACCAGGCAATAGGGTGACTGCTGTGGCTGGGTTTGCTTTCTTCATAGAGCTCCCATCTCCTAAAGGCTCCATCATCTGGGGATATAAACAGTCTCTCACTGATGTTTTAAGCTCAAGTCAAGACAACCTTGGAAAGAACTATCTTCAGAATGGAGGTTATGTTATGTTTCCTGTATATTTTATTTCTCCACAGAGTAGGGACCATGGCAAATGATAGAGAATACTTCCTGGATAGCTTTCCTTACAAGTAAATAAATTATCTTTATCTTCTACATTATTGTCCTAGGCTGAGTAAGCCACAGTATTATTTAATTCAGCATGAACTCTACTGAGATTAACATTGTCTCTTTGTTTAATACAGTTCATCAAGCTTCTACCATGATTTTAAACATGGCATAAAAATATTTAGGAAGCATCTAAAATATTAAGTTAACTATCCAAAGACAACAACATTATTACTATTAAAATGACAATAAAGTGATATAAAATTGTCACTATCCTTTTATTAATCACTTTCTTTGAATGATCTGTTGAACTCTTATCTGAACCTTACAAGGCAAAAGCTGTTTTTATTCTCAAATGCAGATGAAAAAAAAATGACCTTTGAAGCTGATATTTCCTAAAATCTCACAAGCAGTACAGAGTCAGCATCTAGGATAAGATGTATCTGATAAGTGAATACATCCTCTCCACACTGTGTAGATGTTTGTTCCTGACAATCTGTCACCTAAGATAAATCATGGAAGTTGAAGTACTCCAAATTATGATTGGAAAAATTGACTTTTCTTCTATCATTTAAGATATTCTTTAACTCTGAAACTTTACATTTGCTGACTGACTATCTAGTAACTCTTTGAAACTTAGAGTTCTCTCATTCTGTTTTTACATTTTACTTGAAGCCCATGGATCTTCAAAATTTGACATAGCTTTTGTTTCCTTTCAACCACTTGCATTTGCCTGAATCCTCTTTTAAAGTATTTATGACCTGCTACATATGTTTCCACATATTTATCCTACTGTCCTTCTAGAATGACAAAATGCCAACTGAGGATCTCTTTGCTGACCCCAGTTCCACACCTGCACGTGGAATGCTGAGCAGTACCGGAAAGCATTCTGGAATTCTGTAATGCTTTATAACAATCCATTTTACAGACTTACTGCTCTTTTCTCGTGTGTGCACACATGTCTATCCCCCCCTCTCTCTCTTGATAAATGTCTGCTTTATGCAAAAAAATCCATTTTACAATGATCCAAGTCAACCCCAATGGTATCTTTCAAGGTGCTCTGGTATTATTTTGATTGCCAAGGTAATCTGTGCTGGTAACTGCATCCCTACTCTCTACTCAAAGCTTCCTGTCTGCCCCTTCTCCACCCATTCATTCCAGGGAAAGTCATAGCAAAATGCCTCCAAGTGTTGTTATCCCACCCAACGACATCATTAAATGTCATAAATATCAGCTCTTGTCCCCTAGAAGACTTTCTCCTACAGCTGTGACCACAGCCTCGATGGATTCCACCATCACAATTACATCTTCTTATTACCTGGTCTTCAAAACGTCCTCATTTTCTCAAGTCACTCCTGTCCACATTTGAAATGAAGACTTTTTTGCCTTGCTTTTTTTTGTTTGTTTGTTTTGAAAAAGAGTCTAATCATGTATGTACCTCTGGCTGGTCTGGAACTTGTTGTATCAGACTGTCCTTGAAGTCACAGAGATCTGCCTATTACTATGTGTCAATTGTTTTAGAGATTAGAATTTGAATGGCTAAGACTTAGATAAACATGGATTTTAAAAAGTGTGGAAAAATCTTGTAATAATGAAAAGAACTGGGCTTGAGACACACACACACACACACACACACACACACACACAAACACAGATCTCATAAAACAGTAGAGACTATAATATGACCTATTATATGAAGTGAAGAACTGAATTTTATCAGTTAGTTAATATTTAAGTAGATTTTAAGTGAAATTCAACAACTGTTTTTTGAGGTGTTTAAATTATGATTTTTATTGAGTTCTTTTGTTTTGACAGTTTGAAGCATCTTTCGAAGAATGGTAAGAAACCACAATTGCTCCTTTGTTTTCCTCTAAAATTTTGAACTTTTGGTATTCACCAATTTTATTTCAGAAAGAAGGGAAAACTGAAAGCAGTATTTACCAAGTTAGATATTAAAACATGGGAAAGGAACTGGAGAAGTTGAAGGAGAGAGAGGAATGGATGGATGGTTGGAATAGAGTTCTCATGTGAATGTGAACATGGCCAACAATCTAGACTTCAGCAAAAAATGACATCAACCAAGGAGAAAACCATTAAAGAAGCTGCTCATCAAGCTAGATCATCAAGGCAACTACATCACCTCTTTCCATTCTCCTGAGTTAGTGGTAACCCTGAGGAGAGCATCCCATACTGGTGCTGTGAATTCCCAATGTCGGAGGAAACAAGATTTTATTTCCAAAAATTTTCATCTGAAGGTTTTCGCCTGCCAAACTAATTCTTGTAACAGTGCTCAGGGAGCTTCTGGGCAGTATATTCTTGTCACAGCTCCCAGAGGCAACAAATAATAACTAGAGAAAGCCACAGATAGATCAAAATGCCTTAGAAGAAAGCGTCTGGGAAAAGAAATGCATGTGAAAAAGAAAGCAATAACTTCCAAATGAACACAGGAAACACAGCAAATGCACTGTAAATCCATGCCACTGTTCCACACAGAATGTGAGGGTAGACAAATGGGGGGGAGGAAGAGTAGTTTATGGAAATTTTCTGAAACATCTTCAAAAATTTGGCTAGATACATAAACCTACACTTTATTAAACTCAGTGAAATTTAAATAGAATAAAATCAAAGAGATTGAAACAAACAAACATATTAGACAATTTATTTAAATCCTGGGGGGGGGGGAGAAGAGACCATTAAACATCAAGGGTTAAGGGACTGTGCAGCAAGAAATCCTCAATCAGATTGACAGTCAGCTTGTCACCCAAATCTTTGGAGACCTGAAGACTTTCAAAGAAATCCCAAGCAATCCTAGGTCATCCAAGATTCCTTCAGTCTCATATAAGTGTGTTTAAATAATAAAAAAGAAGTATAGATATCCTACCGAAGATGAAATATGTATATCATTAATAGATCTATTTCCTGGGAGATATTTAAGGAGGTCTTTGGGACTGAAACAGAAGGATAGCAGATAGTTTACCCAAAGACCATATCAAGAAACTATTAGAAATAATAAAGACTACAAAGATACATGTACATTTCAGTATTATCTTGGACTCATAACTGCTTTCCTGTATTATTTAAAGGACAAATGAACAAACCTCAGAATTACAAATATTTGTTGCTGAGCACACAGTATTTAAATTTACTGTTTATGGTAATAATAAGATATTCCATCATATTTTATAGAGCTTACTGGACCAGTATTATAATGTTGAAATAGCAACAATGTTTTCATTAAAATTTGAGTTTATTAAGTTAAATGCTAAGTGTCACCTCCAAAACAATGACTAAGAAACATCCATAAAATTACATCAGAAAAGTGGAAAAAAACAACACCTCAAAAATGGTCATAACATATGAAATAAGGCAGTTATAGAGAAACAGGGGAATAAAATATTAATAATATAGAAAAATAGTTATACAGTAGAAGAAATAAACCCTTTGTTGTGAGCAGTTAATGTATATGAAAATAGATTAAACATTCTAATCAAAAGTGAAAGGGGTTGAATGAATAAAAATGCTCTATTCTGTTAATTTCTAGATCCACATAAGCTACCATAGGTGACTCAGAAGAAAATAAAAATTCTAGCTGACAGATAAATATTAAGGAGATAGTATTAGTAATCAAAATAGCTTTACCTAGAGCATAGCAATAAAATGATTCCTAATGGCATATTACTAAACACATAGATCAGTGCCTTGTTCAACTACAATCATCTAAGCCTCAGGATTAACACAGAGGTCCGCAGTCGAGTAAGTTGCAGAAAGCCAGAGACTTTAGAACATTCAGTGCTAAGTGTAAGGTCTTCATCAAAGCCCTGTCCTCAAGACTCAAGGATCTATGGGGAGAGGAGGCAGGAAGATTGTAAGAACCAGGACAAATGGATGACCCCAAGGAAACAGTGTCTTCCAGACACAACAGGGCTGATGCATATCTGAATTCACAGAGACTGTGGAAGCAAGCATACGACTTTCACAGGTTCAGTCCAGATGGGGTTAGAACACTAAGAGGGGGGAAGTAGATATGGTGTCTACTCCCAGCCAAGAAGATACTTTCAATTGAAACCTGCTGGCAAAGTGAACAAGTTTTCTTAAGTGTGTCATTGGGCATACTAAGTACATCTCAGGGCAGACTCGATGCCCTGGAGCAGTTAGACAATACATACTTAGCTTCATAATGTTTATTTGTTTGTTTATTTTGGGGGGGGGCTTTGTTTTCTTTGGCATTTTTGTCTTATTGGTTCTTTTTAAATTGATTTTTATTGAGCTCTACATTTTTCTCTGTTTCCCTCCCTGTCTCTCCCCTTCCTTTCATTCCTCTCCCAAGGTCCCCATGCTCCCAATTTACTCAGGAGATTGTGTCTTTTTCTACTTCCCATGTAGATTAGATCCATGTATATCTCTCTTAGGATCCTCATTGTTGTCTAGGTTCTCTGGGGTTGTAATTTGTGGGCTGGTTTTCTTTGCTTTATGTTTAAAAACCACTTATGAGTGAGTACATGTGGTAATTGTCTTTCTGGGTCTGGGTTACCTCACTCAAAATGGTGTTTTCTAGCTCCACTCATTTGCCTGCAAAATTCAAGATGTCGTTATTTTCTTCTATTGTGTAGTACTTCATCGTGTAAATGTACCACATTTTCCTTATCATTTTTCAGTCGAGGGACATTAAGTTTTTTACAGGTTCTGGCTATGGTAAACAATGCTGAAATGAACATATTTGAGCAAGTGTCCTCGTGGCACGATTCAGCATCCTTTGGGATATATACCCAAAAGTGGTATTACTGAGTCTTGAGGAGGGTTCTTTTCTAATTTTCTGAGAATCACCACACTGACATCCAAAGGGGCTGTACCAGCTTGCATTCCCACCAGCAATGCAAAAGTGTTCCCTTTTCCCCACAACCTCTCCGGCATAAGTTATGATCAGTGTTTTTGATCTTGGCCATTCTTACAGGTGTAAGATGGAATCTCAGAGTTGTTTTGGTTTGCATTTCTCTGATGACTAAGGATGTTGAGCATTTCCTTAAGTGTCTTTCAGCCATTTTAGATTTCTCTGTTGAGAGTTCTCTGTTTAGGTCAGTACTTCATATTTTAAATTGGATTATGTGTTCTTTTGATGACCAATTTCGTGAGTTCATTGTATATTTTGGAGATCAGACCTCTGTCTGATGTGGGGTTAGTGAAGATCTTTTTTCCATTCTGTAGACTGTCATTTTAATCTATCACCATGCACAAAACTCAAGTCCAAATGATTCGAAGACCACAACATCAAGCCAGGCACACTGAACCTCATAGAGAGAAATGAATGCATTGACACAGGAGACCACTTCCTAAATGTAACCCCATTAGCACAGACGCTGAGAGAAACAATTGATAAATGGGACCTCCTGAAACTGAAAAGCTTCTGTAAAGCAAAGGACACGGTCAACAAGACAAAACCACGGTCTTTTCAATTTGTGTGTGTGCATGTGTTTGTTTACGCACACACATGCCCATACATGCATTAAAGGATGTGGAGAGAGGATCTGGGAGGAGTTCGGAGAAGGGAACAACATGATCATAAAACATTGTATAAAAATGTTTAATTAGAATAAAAAACCTTTTATTCAGGTAGAGTTGTCATGTTCTTTAACCCAAACACTAGGGAAGCAGAGGCTAGATGACAGTCAGTTGGTACCAAGCTTAAGCTATATATTAAGACCCTCCTTCAAAATAATAAACAAAACAAACAAATAAGTAAATAAACCAAAAAGCCCAAGCAAGCCAAAACACTCATCATAACAAGAAGAACAAATTCTATTAAATATTGAAGTGAGACTTTCTATCATCCTTTCTCAAGTTTCTTAAAACAAAACAAAAAACAGAGAGCTGGAAACACTTCTCCACTTACTCTATACCACTTTTGGCATGGTGCCAAAAGCAAATAAAGACATTGACAGAAACTTGCAGGTTCATATCTGAATTCTCTCGTTGAATCTGCAATGAAGTGCCATCAATGACTGATTCCAGCATCCTATTTATAGAGTTACACATGATGACCAAGTTGAATTTTTCCTGAGAATAGTAATGATAATTTGGTACACAAAAGTGGATCCATCTAGTATTCCACATAAATTAAATAGGGAGAAAAACCTGCTTGAAACTAAAGAGAAAATGATGTGAACGAAACAATGCTTCTCATAACAAAAGCACCTTAAATAACTAGAATTCTAAAAGCAGTACCTAAACAATAGAAGACATTTCTGGAAAGCATTGGTGCACACAAACTGATAGCAATGGAGAACTTCTGCCTAAATTTATTTTTATTTCTATTTTTTTTTCTTCTGCCTAAATTCTGAGAGAAGTCAAAAACATCAGTTCTTTTCTGTTCCACACTTCTTTCTTTGTACACTGCTGGTGTTGATGACAGATGATACAGACAGTTAAAATCAGCTTGTCAGTTCCTGAAGATGTAAAATCCTGAACGATCCCTAGGGCCAGACAACTTTCACGCTAAAATATATATCCCCAAAGCATTTGAAACAGGTATTCAAGTGAAAACTTAAATACAAATGTTCAAAGCACCAGGCTTCATAAGAAATAAAAGGTGGGAAAATCTATGAGTGAATTAAAAGAGTGTGGTTTTTCTACTCAATGAAATGTTTTTATACCATAGATAGAAATTGGGAGGCTGGGTGCAGAAGACAGTTTGGGAAGAGGAACATGGGGTGTACTCACTCATATTTGGTTTCTAGCCATAAATAAAGGACATTGAGCCTATAATTCATGTTCCTAGAGAAGCTAAATAAGGTGAATCCAAAGACAAACACATAGGCATCCTCAGGAATATTAACCTTCATCAGGCGATGAAAGGAGACAGAGACAGAGACCCACACGGGAGCACCGGACAGAAATCTCAAGGTCCAAATCAGGAGCAGAAGGAGACGGAGCACGAGCAAGGAACTCAGGACCACGAGGGGTGCACCCACACACTAAGACAATGGGGATGTTCTATTGGGATCTCACCAAGGCCAGCTGGCCTAGGTCTGAAAAAGCATGGGATAAATCCGGACTAGCTGAACATAGCGGACAATGAGGAATACTGAGAATTCAAGAACAATTGCAGTGGGTTTTTGATCCTACTGCACGTACTGGCTTTGTGGGAGCCTAGGCAGTTTGAATGCTCACCTTACGAGACCTGGATAGAGGTGGGCAGTCCTTGGGCTTCCCACAGGTCAGGGAACCCTGATTGCTCTTCGAGCAGATGAGGGGGGGGGGGGGGGGACTTGATCGGGGGAGGGGGAGGGAAATGGGAAGCGGTTGTGGGGACGAGGCAGAAATCCTTAATAAATAAATAAAAAAAAAAGACAGTTTGGGGGCAAGGCGGAGGGCTAAGGAGAAACCTGGTGCCAGGGAAACTCCCAGAAATCCACAAGGAAAACCCCAGCTAAGACCATCTCTGGTAATAGTGGAGAGGGTGCCTGAAATGTCTGTCTCCTATAATCAGATTGGTGACTTCCCTAATTGTCATCACAGAGCCTTTATCCAGTAACTGATAAAAGCAGATGCAGAGATCCACAGCCAAGCACTGGGTCAAACTCAGGGAGTCTTCCTGAATAAAGGGAAGAAGGATCATAGGGGACCTGGGTCGTCAAGGTCATGATGGAGGAACCCGTAGAGACAGCTGACCTGAGCTCTTGGGAACACATGGACTCTGGACCAACAGTTAGACAGCCTGCATGGGACCATCCCAGGTCTGCTGCATATGTGCGAGAGTTGTGTAGCTTGGTCTGCTTGTAACGCTCCTAGCGGTGAGATCAGGACCTGTCCCTGGCACTAAGCTGACTTTTGGAAACCTGTTCCCTATGCTAGATTACCTAGCCTAGTCTTTATACAGGTGGAAGAACTCAGCCCTACCTCAACTTGAAGTGCCAAGCTATGTTCAAGCCCATGGGAGGACTGCCTCTTTCTGAATGGAGACAGAGTGGGTGGATGGGGAAGGAGTAGATGGGAGTCAGGGGGAGAAGAAGGACAGGAGACTGTGGTTAGTATATAAAATAAAGGGAAAAAATGTTGATTAAAAAATATATATACATATACACACACACATACATATATATATAATTACCAAACAAAAAAATTAAAGTATTACTATTACTAGAATTTTTTAAAAAATGAAGTTCTTATAATAATAATACAATATGGACAGATAGCACATGTGTTCATCTATTCATCTATACTTATATATATTACATACAAGTTTTATAAACACACACATATATATTATATATATATACATATATATATTAAGGGCAGGGTCCTTATGTGGTCCTTATATGGAATATTCATTATAGCTACATCCATACAGACAGAAAGCAGATTGGTCATTAATAAAGACCAGTAGGAGGGAGAGATGAGACTGCTTAATAACATTGTCAATTTTTAAAATTTGATTTTAAAAGTACTATAGAAAAATTAATTAGTATTAGAACAAAATCCAAAAAATAATACACAATACTACAACTAGCCTTGTATGGTGGTGCATGCCTCTAATCCTATCAGAGACAGAGGCAGGAAAATCACTGTGTGCTTGAGGCAAGTCTGATCGTCATAAAGAGTTCCATGATAACCAGTCCTATATAGAGGGAACCAAAAACAAACAGAAAAAAACAACAAAGCCCTCAAAACTATAGTTAATAGTGTATGATAACTTGTCATAATATTCAGGGAAGATTGCAAGCCAAAGAGAAAAGCATTATTTAATCCTTGATTTGGAGAATATTATTTTATTATTTTAAAAATAAAAAAAATTATGATTTTCAGTAAAAAAAAAAATTGGAATAAAAGCGAAAGCAAGAAGTAAGTAATGTATCTCATGAAAAAACAAACTTTTAAAAATATCTTTAAAAATAATAACATGAGCCGGGCGGTGGTGGCGCACGCCTTTAATCCCAGCACTTGGGAGGCAGAGGCAGGCAGATCTCTGAGTTTGAAACCAGCCTGGTCTACAAGAGCTAGTTCCAGGACAGGCTCCAAAAAAAACCACAGAGAAACCCTGCCTGGAAAAAAAAACAAACAAACAAACAAAAAAAAAATAACATGAAATAGTGAAAATATTAATGATATTAAAATAATGGAAAATTTTATGCAACAAAGTGAGATATAAAATTTGATGGTGAATTTTATGAAATATGAAATATTACTGCTATATGATATTGCATGTGGTCTCCAAGCTTGAGCTATTTTATGAGCTTTAAAGGTGTTTGGTATGCGTGGAGATTTTGTTAATTATAATGAATCTTTAATAAAATTAAATTATTTAGATGAGCTTAAAAAACAGCTTTTTTCCATTGATGCTTGATTCATGTTAAAATTTTGATCAGTGAAAATATAAAATTTTTAAAAGGTGTGAAGACTCGGTTTAGAATTAGAGTAGGGAAATCCTGAACGTCAGAAATAAGGTATTAGCCAAACTATGCAGCCCCAGTAAGAAGAGCGCCTTAGAAAGAATAGCATTTTTCTGGACACTTTTCTAAAATTTTGCTACTTTTATTTCTGAAATTATTACCTTTACTCTTTGTGGTTTATATTGGCTTCTAAGAACTCACTAATCTGAAAAGAAAGTACGTATCATCTCATCCTATTGATCTTTGATCAAAATTCTCTTGGAACCAGAGAGCAGGCTCAAGGGTTTACAGGGCACACTGCTCTTGTACAGGACCCTAGCTCAGTTCTCAGGGCCTACCACAGACACGTCACAACCACTGAACTCCACCACCAGGGGTTTTAATCTACTCTTCTGGTAGGCAAGCTGCCACACATATGTAACGAATATAAACATGCATGCACACACACACACATGCCACATATAAATCAAGCCACATCTCAAAAATTCTAAAAATACAAATTTCTAAATAAAAATACTGTTTTAATGTCCTCTCAAGAAAGCCCAAGGTATCTGTAATTGTTAAAACTTTCTGTTAATTTAAGTATAAACACTACTGGATAATAAAATGTCTTATATCATTCTACTATTTAGTAGGATTGCCATGTAAATGACATTTAACATTCCACAAAAATGTTTTAGCAAATTTTATTTAATAACTTTTAATGTATGTGTTTTTTAAAAACTGATACTGTCTTCCTCGTTACGTATGTGTAGGACTTCTACCACTAAAGATGTTAAAGATGATTCGGGTGTCACTGTCCCAGAGAAAGATGTCCGCCCAAAAAAAGCAAGGGGTAAGTTTGCTTTTCATACTTAAAGATATATAAATGTTTTTGGTCATTGACCTTTTATTTAATAGAGTTTTAAGATGCACAATTATTATTTTTTGAGTTTGTGGGATACCGTATAAAGAAAAAGCCTATTTAATCATTTAATCAAGAAACATGCCCTCAGCTAGCATTTATTACTAATGAATTCTATACCCAACACTGGCCTGAGTTTTGGGTGTGTAGTGATACTTGTGGACAGCTCAAGGAACCAGTTAAAGTTGAGAAACGTTGATAAAACTTTCAGCAGTGATCAAGATAGTGTCTGTCTATTTCTCCAGTGGGGCAGCTATGATCCTACTGACCAGTTGGGATGTGTCCAATAAGACTGAGACACTTAATTCCTAAGTTTCCTTTTAACTTACATTGAAATATAAATAGCTGTGGTACAGTGGCTTTCATATGATCAGAATTTACCACAATCTAATACAAAAGTTGAAAATTTTAAATATTGGCTTAAAGTTATTATGAATATTATTTCAACATATATGAATATATGCTTAAGATTATATTAAGTTTCTCACCTTTACCTGTCACAAAAATTTACAAATGTCTTCACTGGAGCAAAACTGATGAACTCAGCACATTTCATTAAAAGAACAAATGTTTTGGTTTTTTCAAACCATCGTTCGTTCTGCGGCTCTATTTTGACCAATTTTTAGTTATTTATTTCTGTATTAATGTCTATAGAGACGAAGAAAGCTTCAGTGTTTATATTTCATGAATGTGGGGAAAAAAGACCAACTCATTAGTGGCCACAGTTACTGTAAATGTACCTCGCATAACAGTCATCAGAAGCGTGTACATGTGAGACTAAGCCACACAGTGATGCCAGGAGGGTAGTGGCTGTCGGAAAGTCTTTGTGTTAAAAGGCGCAAGTCTCTGTTTACATATACTAAGTGAGTTGATCTGGGAATACAATTAGGTTTGTGTGAAACTGGATCAAAGGCACTGCAAATTATTTACTTATTTAATATTGATTTGCAATCTGTTAAAGAGAGTAAAAGGTAATTTGTAAAGTCAGAATGAATAATTTTGGTAAAACACATGTAACTTTAGTAAACTAAAGTGCTGCAGTTATCATCAGTGACAGGTGTATCTTTGTGCATTGTATACTAAAGACTTAGGGAGATTTTGATCATGGAGAGAGTTACAAATTATCAATGTCCCATGAACGTTTTCTTTAAAAATTCATTTAATAACGTACCCAGGATAAAAGTAAACAAGAGTTTCAAAGAGAACAGATAAAGCTGCACACCAGAGAAAGTTAGTTTTTTTCCATTAAAATTAATTCTTTTTAGGATACATGTCAATGTCTTTGACAAGTTCTCTAGAATAGGAGAGATGATACAGCAGCCCAGATTATTTTCAGAACCATTATGTGGCCATTTCTAGAACTGACATCTAGCAGAAAAAAAAAATCATTGTCTTTATTTTCCAAAGAGAAAAAGGATTTCTCCATCACTTTCTTCTTTGATGCCATCACAGTGGCTTACCTCCTGCCTCCATTCCACGGTGTCCTTTCCTCTCTTGGCGCTGTGCTTATGTATTCTTGTCATGTCACATGCTGGGGAAAGTCAGCTATTATAGCTACAAATGCCAGCAAAATAGGAATCTCATCTATCTTCCTTAACTTGTTCTTTCTAGAGAAAAGTATATTATTGTGGTCAGATAAAACAAGCTTTGTACACAATTTGTTCAGAAAAAGATGAATGAATGCCTCTGGAAATATTTTGTTAACAAGAAGCCATGTTATTCCAGAGTTGTGAACCAAGGATCACTAGCATCTTCTCTCATTAGCAGAGTGAATTAAGGAATTCATTAATAGAATTTGAAAATTTTTGATGAATTCTTGTCAAGGGTAGGTGTAGAAGTTATTATTTGATGAAGCTGAAGGCTGTCAATGCCGTCTTTTCCAGGAACCAAGTAATCTTTGTGTTGATTTAATTGCTCATTGTGATTTGTGTGCAGGAAGACTAAGAGAAAATACAGACACAATTTTAAAATGGAAGAGCTCCTCTTGTGGTTTTTCCTTCTGATACAGAGATTCTCTTGAAGATACTGGTTGAGCCTTTCCACTTAATTTATTTATAAGTGTTCACAGAAAAATCTGTCTCCCAAAGAATATGGCATCAACTTTGTATTATTCCCATGTTTCGGTTACATATTTTTAAGTCCCCCTTGTTTGCTTTCAAGGCAAATCTCTTGTTATGTAGCTCAGACTGTCTCCTGAACCTGCAGGAATCTTGCAATATCAGCCTCTTGTGTGCTGATATTACAGGCCTGTACCATCACGCCTGGCTCTGCTTGGCATTACAAATGGTCTTTTAAAGATGAATGAACTTTTCTAAAGTTCTTCTCTTACAGACATAAATATCTGGAAGGATACTTCAAGTGAGACTGGTATTCTGTCACATGGCCTATGGGCTGATTGATTAACATGAATTTGTATTCCTATTTTAAGATAGGAAGTGTCCAGAGCTGAAAAAGAAAATGGAGGCATTGTTATCGGAGGCCATTCACCTCATTAAAAGTCTGGAAACAGACAGGGCAGAAGCAGAACAAGCTTTAAAACAACAGAAATCAAGAAAGAAAAGGATTAGCATGAAAATTGACTGTTGGTCCATTTGGAAGCTCCAAGAACTCCCAACGGCTGTGCAGAAAGGTAACAAAAGGGTTTTGACTCTATCGTCAGTATTAAGGGAGCAGACAGGGTGACCCATTGATCTATATAAACAATTTACCATTACGTGTTGCTTATAAACTAGGACTGTTTGAAATGCAATATTAAAGATTTAGTGAGTCCAGAGACACAAATGAGTGCTGTGCTGTGCCATGACTGTGGGCTTTTAAGTTTGTTGAAACACCATTCATTAACACACCTTGGAGATAGGTCAATATTTGTTTTTTTTTTTACTTAACATTATGGTAGTGTTTGTTATTAAAATTCAATTATTAAAGCTGACTGACCAATTGATATCATTAGCAATGTTTTGCAATATAGGAAAATTCAGATTTCGTAAAGACATGTTGGGAATGACACACACTTACATTTGAGAACTTAGAAATGAATTCAGTTTGAAAGGAGCTCCTAGCAAGAAGGCAACCTTAACATGTTTGCAAGTGTAACTTGGGTAATAACTGCTTAAGAAAATATTGTCCACCTAGGTGGTGGTGGCACATGCCTTTAATCCCAACACTCAGGAGGCAGAGTCAGGTGGATCTCTGTGACTTCAAGGTTAGCCTGGTCTACAAGAGCTAGTTCCAGGACAAGCACCAATGATACACAGAGAAACACTGCCTCACAAAACCAAAAAAAGAAAAAGAAAGAAAGAGAGAGGGAGGGAGGGAGGAAGAGAGGGAGGGAGGAAGGAACAAAGAAAGAAAGAAACAAACAAACAAGATGCTGTTCTTTAGAGCACACACAGAGAGAGGTAGGGTGGAATATCACAACCTAAAGATTCTGCCTGCTGTTTTTACCTTCTTCAAACCCCATGTCATCAAAAACTTCCTCACCAGAGGTTTATCAGACACTGGAAACATTTTATTGCATCCTGAGGTAAGTTTTTGAGTTGAGGAGTCTTTGATTGAAAGTAATTTTTAAAAAATAATATACTCATACAATCTATCACTTGAATAGGAAATTCTTAAGAATTTGTCATTTGTCATTGTTCTGGGATAAAAGACATGGACTTAAAGTATATGTCATGGTGAACAAATGAATAACCTTGGATCATAATACCAAATCTTATAAAATTATCACCTTCAAAGTAGATAAATGCATACAAAAAAAGTTGCAAGAAAATATTATAATCTAAATAGTCCTTTGTGTGATTCTTTCTTTGATGGAACTTATAATATTAATGTCCTACTAATGGATTACTGTGCTGATAATGAATGACATATAAGTATGATGAGACAATGACAGGGTCAGAATAGGTGCCTTGGAATCCTTGTATTCTCATTTCGGATCATCTGCAGTTTTCCTAATTGCCATTTCTCATTAGCAAGGTAGAAAAAGTAGTGTTGAGAGCTGATATATTGAATGTTACTCTGATTAGCTTAAAAGTCATTTATAAGATAGTTTAAATACTATAGTTTTGAGCCCTTTTGGAATTATCTTTAGGGAGTTATAGAAATAAAAAGAATATAAGTGTGTATACATTCTGGAAACTAATAATTGTAATAAATTCTTGTGATGGGTAACAACGTGATTTGGACTACACTTTAATCAATACTATTGAAGGTCTACTTAAAATTAAATTAAAGTATGTATTTACTTGTTTCCTTTTATTTAAGAAGTCATGCATTATTTATGCTTACAGTGTAATTTAAACTTGTTGCTATATACGTCTTAAGGCATTTCTATGTGAAAAATGTTTCCACAAATCAATTGACTTTATATGAACGTAAATAAGGCATAATCCTTAAATGTTACTAATCTGTTTATAAAACATAGTTATGTATTTTCTGGTTTGATTCATATATTATCTTGTATAATAAATTTTAAAAACCTTCTAATCTTTTTAACAGTTGTAAGTAGGATGTTTGTCAGCACAAACATTTTACAAAATTAGGAAACCCATCTGTTGTTTTCCCAGATCTCTTCTAGGTTCTCCTCTAGTCTACCCTCCTGTTCCCTACAGCACATGTGCTGTCTAGTCTCCCTGAAGGCTAATTTTCAATGGCTGTTCTAAAGATATTTCTATGGTCTGGCTTTCCTTTTGGTCAGCCAATAGGAATTCATACAGGATATCATGAAGAGGTCATTCAAGAGAATGGAGCAAGACTATTGGTAGCTCTGGTCCCTTCCTTTCTGTCAGGTCATAAATCAGTTTCAACACCTCCCAGAAAAATCCAACTCCTTTTACCTGGTATCTAGTGCTGTCTAAGAAAGCCTTTATCTTTTTCTATCAAAAAATAAACAGAAATATCTTCCAACATAAATCGGTTGTTATATGATCCCATAAACTATATAAATTGGGTTGTATAGCTTTGTTCTCTTGTAAAATAAAGTGACCCATACATTTTATCATACCACAGGCATTTGGAGGCACAAATGAGGGCCCCAGACTCCCCTGGTGCCCTGCATGTCTCCTCTTACCAGCTCCGTTTTTCACATATCTGTGCATGTGGATCCACAGCTGCTTCCCTATGACTATTTTATGGAAGAGAAAGAAATGTCAGACCTTAGAATGAGAGTGTTTGACAGTATGTGACACACTTTGCAGAGTGGATATGCTCCAGTAGATGTGAGAACTACAGGCAACTTCCCACAGTGAGATTATGGAAAGCATCCCCTTGAAGGATAGATGGGCAAGGCACATGTGCAAAGTTACAAAGGGGAAGGGACACACTCAAAGGATAGCAGGTATGAATGTGAGATAAATCAGCACAATGGAAAACATATAATTTAGAAGATAGAGAACATAAAATGACGAACTAAAAAGACAACAAAAGAGTATGGAATCTGAGGCAGAATGCCTAGAGCATGTACACATCTGCACCAAGTCCTTGTGTACATATATATATATATATATATATATATTTGCACATATACACACACACACACACACATATATATTGACTTCAGTTTAGTGTTTTATAGTTTTCCTGAGTGTGTGAACAAATGGGCCTCTGATTGGTATGTGTTTGTTTGACTTTCTAATTCCAATGTGAAAGTTTTTGTTTTATCTTATTTTCTTATATTGGATTATTATTATTATTATTATTATTATTATTATTCATATAAAACCTGTTTTTTAATAAGAGACAGAAAGGGAGTGGATTTGGGTGGGGAGTAGGTAGAAAGAAACTGGGAAGATTAGAGAAATCAGGGAGCATAATCAGGATATATTATGTGTGATAAAACATCTATTTTCAATTAAAGGAAAAAATAAAATAAAATTTTAATAAAAAATAGACATCGAACTCTAAATAAAGCAAAACCAACTTCTTCTTCTTCTTCTTCTTCTTCTTCTTCTTCTTCTTCTTCTTCTTTTTCTTCTTCTTCTTCCTCCTCCTCCTCCTTTTCCTCTTTTTCTTCCTTATTCCTCTTCCTCCTCTTCCTCCCTTTTTTCTCCTGATTATCCATATCCAGCTTGTGGCTCTGGTTATTGATAATGAAAATATTCAGAACATAAGTTTGAGATTTATATTTAACTAACTGTGAATGTTTATAGAAAGAGGAGTATCAGTACATAAACAAAAAAAAAACAAAATATGTCTCTAGACATTAAGAGAAAGACCTTGACTCAGTACTTAGAAAGGCTTCAACATAAAATATGCATGGGTATAAAGGTTAGCACTGTTTTTATAAATGTAATTGAAAATGTCTAGGAAACAGAGAGAGAGAGAGAGAGAGAGAGAGAGAGAGAGAGAGCAGAGACCACAACTGATTAAGAAAACACTTTAAACTATACAACAAAGTCAGGGGGAATCAGTATAAATATTAAAAAATACAGACCTAACCCATGAATTGAAGGCACAATCCTATACAAAGTTATCAACAAACTTCATGAGAAAATTTTATTTTATTTTAAATTATTTAAAAAATCAATTTAGTTTTTATTCCAACAATGCAAAATGGCTTTTGTATTCAGAAATTGTAATGGGAAGAATGCAGGAGCCCTCTTAGCTAATTTGTTTGTAATTGTCTAAGTTCATATTAGATATATAAGTAATTAGGAGTGATTTCAATGTCTAAAATTTCAAACATTTTTATTGAAACGGTTGGTGTTTTATCTTTTTTCAAATTTAGAGATTTTTTCCATTGCTATTTTATGCCTATGGGCCTTGCTTGATGCCAGGGTTGGAAGCATCTGTACCCAATGAAGGTTACCTGGCTTCTCTCTGACTCCACTTCCTTTCTCGTCCTCTATCTGCTTGAAGCCTTGCCCTACTCTGTGCTGTAATAGGCCCAAAGTTCTTCTTTATTCACTAATGGTATTCATAGCATCCCAAGGGGAATTCCATATCATATAATGATCATTTTGCTGATTGTAATAAATTGGATTTATATTAAAGATTATAAATTATTAATTATAAATTATCAATAATTATGAATTGTTAATAAAGCATGCTTTAATCCTTTTGGTGATGAGCTAAAAACAGTATGTTTTACAATTAAATATTTAAATAAAATTCACAGATGAATAATTTCTAAAGCTCAAGTGGAGCCTGCGCATAAACAAGCATTACTTTCTGGACTGTGTACTGCCACCTCTGAACTTTGTGTTGCTCTCATCATCTGCCTCCAGAACACGAGCACTTTTCCAAAGATATCGCAGAGCTGAACAGCCATATTGAAGACACAGCCCAAATGTTGGAGCATCTGGAGAAGCAGAAGGAGATGCTGGAACAAGCCAATGCCAAGATCCAGAAGGACATTGACTACATGACTCACCATGCCCCCCTGCTGGAGTCGAAACGGAAGCAGGAAGTAGAAGCTCTGAGGGACCGCTATCACAAAAAGTTTGAGGTAACTGAATGTGTGTATACTCTCTGGGTTACTCCAAAGTATTTCAACTCTAAGAACTTAATTTGTCTTCTAAAGTTGACCTGGTATTTAACTTTCTAATAACCTACTCAGTTATAATTTATTGATATTCATTTAAACATCTTAGCTACTTATCAATAAACCTAGTACGATTAATAATATTCGTTTGATTCATTAAATTAAAGTGTTTCAAAAAACCTTTTTTATTTTTAAACCATTGTTTGAACTGAGTGAGAAAGTAAGTAAAACATATCAGTAATTTAATCATTGATAAAATTATAAATGTAATGGGGCTTCAAGAGCTTAAATGACCTCAATCACATTGTGAAATACTTCTACAGAAAAATAACTATTTGCAACTGTTCCACAAGTAATAAATTTACCTCATATTAGTGTTAAATCGTTATAAAGTAAATTTAAAAGTCCTTGAATGTTTCCCATGTTTAATACACAGCATCATCCTCTTTATTCCATCACCAAGAAACTAATATTAATTTCATCTACTTCATGAGGAAAATGTAACTAATGTTTTAAAATTATGCTACATATCTTGAATTATAAAATACTATCATACATTAGGCTATGCAATTTTCTTAATCTCCCCTTTTAAGGTAACTGTTTTATCAGATAAATTTGAACTTTTATGTTTAGTTATGTGCATATATATGTCTGGTAATCTGTAGGTATACCATGTGCATTCAAGTGTGTGTGGTGGCTAAAAGGGAGTGTCTGCTTTCCAGAGGTACAGGCAGTTGTGAGCCACTGCATATGGTCCTTGGGACCAAACCAGGCTTCTCTGCAGAAACTGTAATTACTCTTTACCACTGGACCATCTCCCCAACCCCTTACATTGTTTTTATGTTATCAAACAGCTCAACATAGATATAAATTTAGTTTAGTTTAGTTATGTATTCCATCACATAGATATCAAACAAATTTATTATTTAATGTTCTCTCTTTTTCTCTCTCTATGACATCTGGGTTTTTTCCTAATATTTAATGATAAAAGTGAAGCTTGGCTACACACAACAATTTCACACCAATGCTCTCCTTTCAGTGCGCATGTGAACTTTCCTCAGCTGTATGCCTAGTCTTTATTGGGTAGTAGGTGAGGTCCACGTTCTGCTTCACTAGCTAACGCTCCAATGTTCTCCAAAGTTCCTCTGACAACTTTTCTGGAACAGTGGTTATGCTGCAAACTCATTTTTCCACCCTGGAAAATACTGCTCCCTCCTAATTATCTTCTACAATTACATTACTGGTCTGACTTTTCTTCCACTGGGAAGAAGGTTGGATTTACTGGTTGGAATTCTAAGACAGCTCTTTGACAGTGACCAACTCATTCTATATATATATATATATATATATATATATATATATATATATATATATATCGCCATTTCTAAGTAGGCTGGCTAGTTTTATGTCAACTTGACACAAGCTAGAGTTATCTGAAAGGAAGAAACCTCAATTGAGAAAATGCCTCCAGGAGACTAAGCTGTAATACATTTTCTTAATTAGTGATTAATGGGGCAGGATCTAGCCCATAGTGAGTGGTGTCATCACTGTGCTGGTGGTTTTAGGTTCTATAAGAAAGAAGGCTGAGCAAGTCATTGGGAACAAGTCAGTAAGCAGCACCATTCTATGGCGTATGTATCAGCTCTCACCTCCAGGTGCGTGATCTGTATTAGTCCCTATACTGATATCCTTCAATAACAAACAACAATGTGGAAGTGTAAGCCAAACAAGCCCTTTCTTCCCCAACATGCTTTGGTCATGTTGTTTCTTTACATCAACAGAAAGCCTCAGAAACTAAGCTTCCCTGCTACCTAAATATGGTGACTGCAGTTTATCACAGGAGGCAGTATCTTGTAATCGGCATATTAACCAGGCTAGCTTAATATGAAACAGCAAATTTTAATGAAGGGATAGCTTACAACACCAGGGATCCAGCGATGGGCAGGAAATAAAAAAAAAAAAGGACCGGTGGGGCTCACGCCCATCAGATTTATATGTAAACATTAGCCCAAGGAGAACACACCCCCCATTGGGCTGGACTTCTCCTACAGTCTCTGTTATGGATCCAGAAGGAAAGACACTGACCTGAAAGCCAGAAGGAGATTGGGACTCCAGTTGAAAGAAAAGTAAATCCAGCCTTGTTCCAGCAATTCTATTTGACCTTGTCTCAATCCTGAATAACATGGTGCAGGATTGCTCATCAGTCTTGTCTTAGCTATTGTCTATGTTTGTTGAAACTAGTGTCTATTTGACACGTTAATATTTTTCTGTCATTGGCCATGGCGATTACTGTGGGATGCTCAAACAGTGTTGTCAGACAGCCGAAAGAGTAGACTCAGGAGGAGATCACTGCAACAGACCAAGACAACAGAGGACTTGGTGTGTAGATCCTGTCAGATACACTGTGACAGCTCTGCATCAACATGGGAGGGTTTCTTAAAAGCCTTTGGCTTAGGCAAGAAGAACTTTTAAGTTAGAGGATTCTCAGTGAAACACATTATCTTTCACCATCCAATCAGTTCAAGTTCTGGACAGCATCAGGCTTGACCTCCATTGAGTAAAACAGAATTCTGGAGCATAAGTATTCTGACTGCTCATTTCCCTTGAGCAACCTGTGATATACATTTTGGACTTCTGTAGCCCATGAGTTATTTCTTTAATCTAAATCCATCTTTGTGGGCTTCAGTATCTCCTGTTGGACCATTTCCTAAAGAATCCTGGGTAACACAGCCACCTTTGTGGAAGGATGGGGATCTGTCACTTCTACCTTGTGTTGAATTATTCAACCAGAGCTTCATCAACTGCCTTTAACTCAGCTTGCCACTTCTGTCATTCCAGGGGGAAAGTGAGTATGTCCCTCTTAGTTTCTACAAAGGGAGCCAGGAACTGTGATGAGTCTACATTCTGACTGCACAGCACCAAGGAAAAAAATTCCCAGAATGCATTTGAGGCACTGCTAGGCAGGATTACATATATCATGCAGCCATAGTAAGAAAACCCACAGTGACACAGCAAAAGAAAAGTGGTAATTTGAACAAGAAAACACATCTTCCATTTATGAAATGAGCATAACTGACAAAATTCAGGGATGAAAAACAGAATTATGAGCACTGCTGGTACCAAATACCTCCTCAGAGAGAAAAAGAAGCACACAGAGATGTAAGCAACAGGCAGAAGAGCTTTTCAGAGTGTAGCCTCTGGAATGGAACTTCATCATGGATTTAAATCCCTACTCTAAGTATTCAGATCTTACATAATTGTTATAAACATTTGTGGCCTTGCATTCTTTGTACTCAAAACCTTATAAGGATCCATATCCATATGCTTAGTGTGTACCTGAATTAGATAAAAAGGACCAATATAGAGCCTACCATAATGCACATAATGCCTTGAAAATAACATTCTTAAGGAAATTTCTAGCTGTATATATTTGCATGGAAAAAGAAAGCTCTAGATTGACAGAGAGTACTATAAGGTAGGCTGCACCAAAACCCACATCCTATCCATTAGGCTGTGAAAGCTATAAGTCCCAATCTGCCCCCTAAGCCTCCCATCCCTTCCCAGGCACCACAAACTCAGCAGACCTCTGCAACAAACTAGCCACTACACAGAGAGTATTAAGAGGTAGGAGGCTCCAAGATTCCCATCCCATCCTTCGGACCCTACAAGCTACAAGTCCCACTTCAGCCCCAAACCCTCCTATCCCTCCCGCAACCTCAGTGGAACTCTGAAACACAGCCTGCTACTACACAGAGAGGACCAAGAGGTGAGTGATTACCCACCCGATCAAGGCAGGTGGGAGAGGGGCCTGGGCTTTTGTCCCCGTTTTTTTAGGAGAGCCTAGAGATTGGGGAGTTCCGCTTCTCTAGCAAGCCACAGGATGAGTTTCCTGCAGGTAGGCTACTCCAACACCCCTATCCCATCCACTGAACCCTGAAAGTTACAAGTCCCACTCCACCCACAAAACCTCCTGTCCCACCCACCCACTTAGCCCCACAACCTCAGAGGAACGTTGAAACACAAGCGGTAACTACAAAGAGAGCACCAAGAGAGGAACTCTGAAACACAAGCTGTGACTGCACAGAGTGGACCAAGAGAGCAGGCCAAGAGAGACCTCAGTGCTTCCCTGCGACACAAAGAGTAACAGTACAGAGCAGACCAAGAACAGTTATCAAAGACAAAGACTGCCTACTGCAAGGATTGGACTAAGAGAGAAAGACACTACCAGCACCAATACAAGAAAGAGATGGGTAGTCGTCAATGCAAGGATTTATCTAAGAACCTAAAAAGCAACATGGTAACACCAGAACCCAGTGGTCAACTAATGGGAAGACATGATCATCCTAACTAAGAAGAAGTAGAAGAAAATGATTTCAGTGTAACTTTATGAGGATGATGGAGGCCTTTAAAGCAGAAATGAAAAATTCTCTTAAAGAAATAGAGGAAAAAAGCAAACAAAAAAATTGGAAGAAAACAATAAATTTCTCAAAGAAACACAAGAAAACCAATAAAAAACAATCAAACAGGTGAAAGAAACAGTTCAAATAGTTCAAGGCTTGAAGATTGAAATAGGGGCAATAAAGAAAACACAAACTGAGGGAATTCTGGATATGGAAAATCTGGATAAACAAACAGGAACTACAGAGGCAAGAATGACCAACGGAATACAAGAAATGGAAGAGAGAATCTCAGGTGTTGTAGATACTATAGACTCATGAGTCAAAGAAAACATTAAATCCAACAAATTCTGAATACAAAATATCCAGGAAATCTGGAACACCATGTAAAGGCCAAATATAAGAATAATAGGGATAGAAGAAGGGCAAGAACTCAAAGGCACAGAAAATACATTCAACAAAATCATGGAAGAAAACTTTCATAACTGAAAGAAGAATATCCCTAAGAAAGTACAAGAAGCTGACAGAACACCAAATACACTGGACCAAAAAAAAAAAAGTCCCCTTTCCATACAACAATCAAAATTGAATACATACAGAATAAAGAAAAATAAAGAATATTAGGAGCTACAAAAGAAAAAGGTTGAGTAACATATGAAGACAGACCTATCAGAATTACACCTGATTTCTCAATGAAATCTCTGAAAGACAGATGTGCTGCAGACAATAAGAAACCATGGTAGCAAGCCCAGACTACTATACCCAGCAAAGCTTTCAATCACCATTGATGGAGAAAACAAGATATTCCATGACAAATTAAAATAATACATATCTACAAATCTAGCCCTACAGAAAATACTAGAAGGAAAACACCAACCAACAAAGCTAATTGTACCCACAAAAACACAGGCAACAGATAACCTTACACCAGCAAACCCCAAAGAAGAGTAACACACAAACAGTACTTCCAAAAATAACAGAAATAGCAGTCACTGCTCATTAATATCTCTTAATATCAATGGCCTCAATTCACCTATAAAAAGACACAGGCTAAGAGATGGATACTAAAGCAGGATTCAACCTTCTGCTGTTTACAAGAAACACTCCTCAAACTCAAAGACAGACATTACCTCAGAGTAAAGGGTTGGGAAACAACTTCCCAATCAACTGGACCTAAGAAACAAGTGGATGTAATTATCATAATATTGGACAAAATAGACTTCAAACTAAAATCATTTAGAAGATATGGAGAAGGACACTTTATTCTCATAGCAGGAACAACTCATCAAGATGAAGTCTCAATCCTGAACATCTATGCCTCTAAAGCAAGAGCACCCACATTTTTTCATTGGATATTTCTTATTTTGATGACCAATTTCTTGAGTTCTTTGTTTTGGAGATCAGATTTCTCTCTGATGTGGAGTTAGTGAAGGTCTTTTCCTATTCTGTAGACTGTCGTTTTGTCTTGTTGATCATGTCCTTTGCTTTACAGAAACTTTTCAGTTACAGGAGGTATCATTTATTAATTGTTTCTCTCAGTCTGTGGAGTACTACACAGCAGAAAAAAATAATGCCATCTTGAAACTTGTAGGCTAATGGATGGAGCTAGAAAACATTATATTGAGTGAGGTAACTCAGACCCAGAAAGAAAATTATCATATGTACTCCATCATAAGTGGTTTTTAAACATAAAGCAAAGAAAATCAGCCTACAAATCACAATCTCAAAGAACCTGGACAACAACAAGGACCCTAAGAGAGATGTACATGGATCTAATTTACATAGGAAGTAAAAAAAGACAAGATCTCCTGAGTAAATTGGGAGCATGGAGTCCATGGGAGATGGTAGAAGCGGAGAGGAGAGGAAGGAGAGCAGAGAAAAATGTATAACTCAATAATATCAATTAGAAAAACCTAATAAGGCAGTCTCATGGCAACAAAACAGCATATATAGACATTATCCAAGGTCCAAGGAGAAAATAATAAAAATAAATCTACCAAAATTTTAACTAATTTGCACCTCATACTGGATCCTAGATTTGATGACAGTGTAGTCAGATATTATTTAGCCTATAAACAACTTATCATTGCAATATCATTTTAAATACCCAGTCTATTAAAAAGGAGAGAGATTCTTAAATGAATTCAAGCTTATACTTTCAATAATAGAATCTTGTGAAATTTTTGAAAAAAAATTATTAATCTCTCTCTCTCTCTCTCTCTCTCTCTCTCTCTCTCTCTCTCTGTGTGTGTGTGTGTGTGTGTGTGTGTGTGATTCACTGGCTCTTATCTCTCAGTCTGAAATAGCGATTCTGCCTCTAGGAATCCTCAGAATGAGACTGTGTGTGTATGCCACCGCATATATATATGAAAATATTATGTAAAATATTTACAAAATAGTCCTTTAACATAGCAGACAAATAAGTCACTCCATGAACAACTCTTTTTAAGAGGCCAGAAATGACTTGACATTAAGAGATGTAGGTATATTGCTTAGTTTGTTAATAAAATAAAAGAAAAAAATATGATTTTTACAGAAATATCTGTGAGATAAGTTTGTCATAATTAAAATGCTAATGTCAGCATAAAACATATACTTATAACCTGGTGTGTGGTGGTGAGGGTGGGAGAATGTAGGTTCTGAGGCCAGGCAAGTCTACCCAGCAATACTTGGTATTTTTTAATCAAAAGTTTATGATAAATAAATAAAATGGAAACAGATTTCTTGCATATAAACAAAGAATTCTTTTCAAAATTAATCCTATTCATATTAACCATTGAAACCCTGAAGTCATTCCAAGCAAATGTGGGAGAAAATGGGTATGTATAAGATGTGTGCTAACGAGACTACTTCTGCCAAAGTGACAAGACAATAAAATGATATAAAAATATTTTAAATGATTAAATAAAACAATTTTCTTATATGTGAAATTTCAAGTATAAGACCTTTCCTCACAAAATATTTGTATTTCGTATTTAAAACATCCGAATACAGGCTTGAGAGATGGCTCAGAGGATAAGAATACTTGCTACTCTTGTGGAATATCAAGGCTCACAACTGCCAGGAGCTACAGCCCCAGGACCTCCTGGAACTACTTCCAGGCTCTCTAGGCACTGCGTATGCAGACACAGATGCTCCTGTGTTCTGTTGGTGGAAATTAAAGCTATTACTCCTTTTTTTTATTCCTGAGAGTAGTCTGCCAACGGCATTCGTGAGAGCTCTTACCTTCCTACTCAGCACATTATCTCCTCAGCAGAACCTTTGAAGACAATAATAAAGCTCGTACATCTTCTCTGAAGCTCACTTCATCACAGTGGGGTCTTTGTATTCCTCACCCATGCTCATGAAGTTGTGAACAACGTCCATGTATGTGCCTAGCCGTGAAAAGAACAGTTAGCGTTATGTTATGTGATTCAGACAAGAGAGGTGGCATAGAAAACAGACAGGATTGATGGGCCAGGAAGGAACTGCTGACGACATTCACTGATTATTAAAAGTCTGTTATTTTGGACTGTTAAGGAAGATAGCTTTCACTATTTCTGATTGAAATTTCTATGCTACTGCATGTTTTCATATTTCTCTGTAATGTAATAATATATGCACATTGAAAATCAACATGTTGGAATGGTTTGAAGGACGATTTTAATATGAGCACATGAAGCTGTAGCTTTTATACGTGTATAGCACTGTTGTCAATCAGGGCAAACATGGAAAAAACATGGAGCACTATTTCTAAGGAGCACACATTTAGAGCATCAGTTGCGGTAAGAAAATATGTGCTAGCAACTGTAAGCCTAGATTATGAGTGACACTGAAATATTTTGAGTTAATCTTCATACATAGATGGGCCAAATGTTTTTCATTTCTAGGTGATGGAACTATTTAGGGGTGTTCATGAAAAGCTTAAGGAGTCGATAGAACAATGTGAAGGTGCAAAGTCAAAGTTCAAGCAAATGAAAGAAGAAAATGCGAAAGACATCCTCCAAGAGGAAACAAATATAGAAAGCTACAAGTAAGAATTCCCCATCAGCACTATGTGTAGCATCTAGAAATGAAACTTTAACCAAAACCGCAACAAATACCACTGCTCAAAATCTTTCATAGCGCATAGAATTTAAATTGCTTATGCCTCTATTATCACCAAGTTTGACAATGAAAATTTGAATATTTGATATACAAATTTATTTATATATATCCACAAAGCAGTATATTTTTATTAAAAAATTGTCATGTATATATCATTATATTTCATGAAGATAAGGTGTACCCTCAATGTATATCCCTCTCCCCTGTATATACAAGTGACTGCTTTGCTTTTAGAGAAATGAGATATCACATATTATAAATTAATGCAGCAACTATATGCATAGCCATTAATTTTTTAACTTATATTTATTTTCTTACTAACAACAATATTTTAAATGCATAAATTATCTCTTGTTTATTAATAATTGAGATTTTATCTTCTGGTATTAATTTCTAAAGTAAATGTGTCTTTTGATATCTTGCCATCTTGGTCACAGCATCTATTTCTGTGATAAAATACCATAGACAAAAGCAGTTTAGGGAAGGGGGATTTATTTCATTTTACAGCTTATATTTCATCATCCAGGAAAGTCAGGCCAGGAAATTGAAGGCAGAAGCTGATGCAGAGGTCAAAGAGAAGCACAATTGACTGACTTGCTCAGCCTGATGTCTTGTAGAGCCCGGTACCACTAGTACAGAGGTGCCACCACCCACAGTGAACTGGGTCCTCATATATCTGTCATCAATCAAAGCAAGACCACAGACTTGCTCATAGGCGAATCTGGTGGGGACATTGTCTCAGTGGACATTCCATCTTCCAAAATGACTCCAGCTGAGACAAGATGACATTGTTATTTAAGTGCTTGTTCAAAATTCATAATCTAATGCTCAGCCCAGAACTATTAAATATGAATCTGTGATTTGAAAAGATTCCAACACAATGTTAGAGAAATAAAATAATATTATTACTGGCTTTTGCCACCTTTTCAGTTAAATATTGATGCAAGATTTTAAAATTCTATCATTTGGCAGAGGGGTTGGGCAGATGGCTCAGTGGGTAGGAGTACTTTCTCAGCAAGCATGAGGACCTGTGTTTAAATGCCCAAAATCTTTAAAAAAGAAGGGAGTGATTGATTGGTCATGTCTTTAACCCTAACCTTGAGAAGGCAGACAACCAAGATAAAAATGAGACAACTACCTGTTCAGTGAGTTTCTGTCTCAAGGCAACAAGGCTGACAATGGCAGCGAAAGACACCAGATGTCCTGCTCTGGCCTCCACATGGACATATGTATCCACACATATATGTACATGCATGGATGCACATACAATACAATACAATACAATACAATACAATACAATACTTACCCACCAAAAGTGGCATACTCATCGCTTTAGTCATGCCTTTGAAGGTACACTCTCAGACGCATGCAAGTATAAAGTAACCATGATGTCCTGGGATATGATTGGCCTCTTATCACTACGAATCGACTTTTTCTGGTTGCTGTAATTATTTTTCCTTAAACTTATGCATAAATGTAATTTTATTAGCTGTTATTTTTATTAATATTTAGAAAATATTTTCAAGTTCCAATGTGTTGGAGTATCTATGCTTTGGAGTCACCTAATAAACTTCACACAGACAAAAACATTTTGTCTGTTATAGTAAGCATGATTTTAAAGTCAAACCACTGAAAACATTCACAAATCATTGCTGCACCCCTTGAATATAAACTATGTGACCCATTTTCTTATTGAACCGTTGTTCATGTTGCTACTTATTATCATTTCATTCTCCTTTATTCTCTCTATCTGACTATAATTCTGTTTTATTATTTTGCAAGGTACATTATTTGCTAAATTCAAACTTACATTGTTGAGATTCAAAACATATAGGATACTCTCAATATATTGATTAATGAAAAAAATAATTAAAAGTTTGCTTTATTTATCCATTGCCACTAAATATAGCAGTTGTTGATTATAGGATGTTTTATTTCATAACCTATAAAAACATTTTTATTATTTTTTAAAGAAGAATATTTTTTAAAAATTAAACTTACCATCAGGACAACTACTTCTTCCCCTTTTGTGTCTTGGGCTTTTCATCATGAGTCCTCCTCGGCCAATAGATCTCTTAGAATCCATCATGAGTCCTCCTAGGCCAATAGATCTCTTAGAATAACAGCTTTAGTGAGGTTCTCTTAACAAACTGAGGTTAATTTTGAAAGAAAAATTATTTTAATACAAATAAGACACACAGGGGCTGGAGAGGTGGCTCAGAGGTTAAGAGCACTGACTGCTATCTATACCCAAGGACCAGGGTTCAATTCCCAGCACCCACATGGTGGCTCACAACTGTCTTGAACTATAGTCCTGGTGAATCTGATGTCCTTTTCTGACTTACTTGGGAACCAGGTATGCAGGTGTTAAAAGACATGAATGCAGAAAACTACTAATATACATAAAATAAAATTTATAAAATAACATAAATAAATAAAATGTTGTACAGTCTTTGAATTTTAATTTTTTTAGAGTGTTAGTCATGTGACTTTTCCACTGTCTTTTTAAAGGTCACCTATGTACTTGAGACCTTAATGATTTATTATTTATGCATAGGTCTATACGTGAATGTGTGCTCCCAATGTTCAAGTACCCAAGAAGGCCAAAGCGGGTAATGCATCCTGGAGTTCTAGATACAGGCAACTGTGGACCACCCTGCTTGGGCCTTGGGAGCTGAACTCCTGTCCTCTAGAAAAGCAGTGAGCTATCGTAACCACTGAGCCATCTCCCCAGGCTTCCTTATGGAGACTTTGTCTATTTCATTTTTATAACACTCTAGTTATAAACTACCTTCCCAACTAGCTAAATAAAATGAAAGTCAGTGTCGTCTAGTTGATTTTGTCCGCCTGTTATTTTCCTGGTTATTCTTTATTTATCAAATGCTAATCTATTGGTGATGTAATTTATATAAAATTTATGCTATTTTTCTATCTTTCAAGTCTTCCATCAACATTGCCCCCTGTGCCTGTACTTCTGTGTGTATTTGGGAGTGGAAGGCTGTTCAGTAACACACCAACAATAATATTCCTTAATTAATATGATGTAGTCATGTTCTCTGTCTTGCTCATGCTAAGTTGTACAGTGATTCCCCCAAAATGTTTGCTTTCTTTATTTTTCTTTATAAATAATTATAGACTCACAGAACTCTATGGAGTTCTTAATTCCCTTCTGTAGGCTTCTCCTATTGGGAAGATCTTAGAGATTAGAACTAGTATAATATCAGACTAATAAAGAGGCCTTGTCCAGTTTTCACCATGTTTTTACATGGACTCAGAAGCATGTGGGGGGACTGAGTGTGTAGTTCTATGTAATCTTCTCTTGTGTGTAAATTCAGTAACTACTGTGCCAATCTATATATAGAACTGTTTCATCTCCTATGCTACCTGAGGTTTGTTCCCCTTGCTCTTTCTCTGCTCTTCACCTTCAGAGCTTCATCATTTGGACATGTAACATAAATATATCTTGGAACAATCAACGTTTGGATTCTTGTTTTCTTTTTCTTTTTTAATTAAACATAGTGCCATTGAGATTAATCCATTTTGGCAGTTGTATCAAAAAGGCCTTGGAATTTATGATTCAATGTTGTCTCGTGGTGTGGATGTGCTGGGTGTGTTTACTCAACCACACTTTGAGGGGGGGCATTTGGTTAGTTTCTAGTTTCTTGTGAGTCTGATCAAAACTAATTAATGTGCAAGGTGTGAGTGTTAAGTTTTTATTTTTCTGGAATGCCTGCCTCTGAATATAATTGCCAGACTGTATGCTAAGTATGTCTTCAGTTTTAATAGAAACCACAAATTGGTCCAGGATGTGGATGGAAAGACCATTTGACGACTAATAAGATCATTTTTTTTTCTCCCAACATAATATTTTTAAAACTGATTTGTATACTTCATACAGGGTACACCAATCATGCTCCCTCCCCATTCCTCCCCAGTTTACCCTTCCACCCTTGTACCCTCCCCCCAAAAGAAAAAAAATACAGGAAGTCCAATTATTGATATACATATACTCATTAAAATGATCAAATTCCAACAGCCAGCCCTTTAATGATAATTGAGTCCCCCATCACGCACATACACACCGCAGAAGTCATCAGCTGTGAAGAACTACACATTGCATCTCTATCATAACTTTTAAGGACTCTCTTCAATCACTTTCTGTCTGGACTGTTTCTTTTCTTTGGGGGGTGGGGTGGCAAGGTTGTCACAGAAGCTGTCAATGTCTCTCATCTCAATTACAAATCTACAGTCATATACACACCACTGCAAAAGAAGCTTCCTTGCTCATAACAGCCAGCAACAGAGTGGACCATGGACTTCCACATGGTTTCAGGCAGCAACATGAACATCCAGGCTCCAACATGGTCCCCAGAGGAAGCAGGCACCATAGGCCTAACATGATCTTTAGCAGTGGCACAAACCACAGATATCAACATGGTCTCCCGTGACAGCCCAGATCACACACACCAATATGGTCCCGAGTAGCAGCACAAACCAAGAACACCAAAATGGCCTCCAATGGGAGCCCAGATCATGTTCATCAACAATGACCTCCAATATCAACACATATGACCCTTGGCATCAGCATGGCTATGTTGGTGTCCCTGGTCTGGAACACCACCTGAGATCACTTTTTAAAAGAAAAACAGAAAAAGTTCAGTTCCTGTAGCATGTTTGTAGCACTGAAGTTTTAGTTCACACTTCTTTTGCATGTTTTCTGCTTTAGTTTCTGAATGTTTTATAAAGTATCTAGTCCAGTGTTTTTCCTATCTGGTGTAGATAACTCTTTCTTAATAGAGGATGCAAACATTTTTTAATTAGATTCAAAAATTGCAAAGATCTATGGTTTATGGAAGGTTTGCCTTTTGATCTCAATGGGGATATTTTTGTGACAGATGTGTTAAGGGTTGTTGAGATTTAATCTGCCAAATTTTTTTATAGGTGTAGTGTCATGGAAAATCTCTTGTCCTGATTCTTAATTCAAAGTGTTTTCTTCTAAAATATTGTATGCAGTTTTACATTTTACACTTGAATGCATTAAGTTAATGGTGCATGGGATTTAGTCAAATTGAGTTTCTTCTTCATTCAGTTTCTCCTTGAGCATTTATGTCATACTGCTTTGGTTGTCACATTGTTTTGTGAAATATGGTCAAGAAACAACAAGCCTTATTTCCATGATTCTACTTGTACATACTGGGTCCTGTTCCATTCCCCTACATGCCCGACACTTCCAATACCACCTTTGGTTTTTGATGAATAAACTCATACAATAGTTCTTGACAATAGAGAGAATGTGAGTGACTTTCTCTGTTTTATTCTCCTGTCTGTTACAGCTTAGTGGATGTGAAAATGGTTATATTTTAATGCCCGGTGACTTTTCATCACTTTATTACCCAACGTTTCCTACAAGATAATCTAAAACAATTCCTCCCAAAGAGTCAATTAATATATGCATAAATTTTCTCTCTATTCTTTCCATTTGGAAGCATAAATACTAGTTTGTTTTTGTTCTTACTCTTTGCTTAATATCCACAGTCTTTTAGGAATTTGCAACTGCCATGGAATGGGGGAATTTTTAGAATAAATTCCACCAATTCCTAGTAAGTTTGGGGTTAATTTTCTTTTCAACGTGGATAAAATCATCTTTGCTTTTACCTTAGGAGAGAACTAGGTAAGCTTAGCAACCTGCAGGCCCACTACTCAACCTCGATTGAGTCTGTGAATGTCCACATTGACGAGGATGAGGAGATAATGACAGAGATGCTGAGAGAAACAGAGAGCACAACAAATGAACTATCAAATTTACTGAAAACAGTGAGTTGTTCGTATTTTCAAAATTTAGAAAACCGTTTTAAGCTAGAAATAGTACATTTTCTTTGTCAGTTATTGAATACCAGTCAATTTCCTGCCTGCATTAGTTTTCTATTGTTAGAGAGCAAAACAGATTTGGCATCTGGACAGAATGCTTATTTCATCATTAATTAAAATTTTATTTTTGTTAATTAATAATTGTTATGTATAATTATATGGCTTAATGACATTTTAATGCAAGTATGTCATGTGCATTGGCGACAAGCACCTTCCAATACACTCTCCTGCCCTGCCTTCTCTCCCATTTGTCCTTTTTGTAAATAATATCCCTTCTGATTTATATAAATGCACATGTCTATATGTGTGTATATATATGCATATATATGTGAGTGTGTGCATGCATAAAGATGGTATTTGCATTTACTTGTTTGACTTACTTTGCTTAACATAATCATCTTCAGTTCCATTAATTTTTCTGCAAATGCTATGGTTTTGTTCTTAATTATTCCTGAATATTTGTTCATTTTTTTTTAAACAGGAGACTACAATTGAAAAACCTTGACATTTTAAAGAGCTTTTGGAGTTAGAGAGAGATTGTGGATATTATAGAGAGATTTAAATTTGGAAAAAGTTTGGGTGTTTTAAAGAGACAGACGTTTTAAAGACTGGGACTTTTGAAGTTATTTATGTTTTATACTGAAATATTGGTATTGGCATTCCATCTTAGAAGCAGGTGAAAATGTCCTATTTGTCTAGTGGAGTGTCTGCATGTCGAAGGGCAAGGGATCAGTTGTGCAGGCTATTTTTTATTTACTTGACAAAAGCTGGCATCGCTGTGGAAGAAGGGCCCTCAATTGAAAAAGACTTCTACCAGACTGACCTGTTGGCAAGTCTATGGTGAATTTTTTAAACTGATGATTGATGTGTGAGACCCTAGCTTACTGTGGACTGTGCTACCCACGAACTGGTGGTCCTGGTTACAATAGAAAAACACGCTGAGCAAGCCATGAAGAGAATTTCACTGAGCAGCATTCCTCCATGGCCTTTGCTTCATTTCTTGCCTTGAGTTATTGCCCTAACTTCCCTCAGGAATGGAATATGAAAGCTCTAAGATGACATAAACTCTTTCCTCACCAAGTTGGCTTTGGTCATGGTGTCTTATCAAAGAAGCAGAAATCCTGACTAAGACACTGTGGATGTAACTTCTCAAAATGTGTAATTCATTGAAAGATATAAGTATAAGCACTAGGGACATGTAGGAGTCCAAAGATTACTTATTATTATTCAAATATTTACAATATTTAAAAGAAGTTTTTCTGCTGATAGTTCAATTAGTCATCTGTGAAATGTTCCCCAATTGATGAGATATTTTCATAGAAGGTAAAATTAGTTGCTAAGCCTGTAATCTTTTATTTCATACATCATTTTTAAACTGGCAACCCTGTACCTCCTTAATTTGTTGCAATAACACAATATTGTTCATGTCAGGGAATCATGAAAGCATTAAAAAGGTTCCTAATAGTTTTCAGTTATAGAAATTGTTTGGGCTACACATTCCAGGGAAGATGAGAGCATGATGAAAGTTAAAATATATTAATTTTTCAGCATGTCTTTCATTATAAGCTACATTTTCAGCAGCACACATCAAGTATTAGTTAAAAGCAGTGATGTGCATGATCATCAAGCCTTGTTTTTTTTTAATTTATTTATTTATTAAAGATTTCTGCCTCCTCCCCACAACCGCCTCTCATTTCCCTCCCCCTCCCCCGATCAAGTCCCCCTCCCTCATCAGCTCGAAGAGCAATCAGGGTTCCCTGACCTGTGGGAAACCCAAGGACCACCCACCTCCATCCAGGTCTAGTAAGGTGAGCATCCAAACTGCCTAGGCATCCCCAAAGCGAGTACGAGCAGTAAGTAGGATCAAAAACCCATTGCCATTGTTCTTGAGTTCTCAGTAGTCCTCATTGTCCGCTATGTTCAGCAAGTCCCGTTTTATCCCATACTTTTTCAGACCCAGGCCAGCTGGCCTTAGTGGGTTCCCGATAGAACATGTGCAACTGAAACCTTCAGTACAAGAGAAAGATAGGATTTGTGCTGCTTATGTGCACATATGGATTCACGGAGAATTGATTTTCAGATTTCAAGGCACATTTTCCTCCCAATTTAGAGTTTTTCCCTTTTTGACCTAGACTCTTCTTCAATCTGTGCCATCCTTAGTCCTTAGCTCTATGCAAACACATTTCTCCATGTCTTCTCTGTAAATAATAGCGTTAGTGATAGCTTTTGAAGATTCAAGGGTCCTAATCAAATTACTTTAAATGTGAAAAGGAGGCTTTCTTTGAGTTCCTTTTCCTTATTTTATGCTATCACATATTTTACAATACTTTCATACATGTATATAACACAATTATAGTCCTTGGAGATTTCATATATGGGTACTGTGTTTACATCTTTTCCATTATTCCCTCTCACAGCTTCCTCATCTCTGTCTCAGGTTCATGGTTTCTTCCTTAAGTATTATTATAATTATATATGTGCATGCACGTATATATGAACGATGCTTACTATTATATAAATTAATGTTGCTGCTGTGTGTATTTGCCAGTGCTGGGTGCTGAGGATTGGATAATCTGAAAGAGGCTCATCTATGGATATTGATTCTGCCTTTTTGGCAGCATGGAGGTCTTCATCTAAGGATAGTACCTATGAGAATTCCCCATCCATATTAATATGGCAACTGGTATTATTATGATGGGTTTGTTTAGGTGACTATATTTTTGACATTTCCTGAGAGCAGCTTCACTGTTCTACACAGAAGACACTATCTTGGTGCAGATTCTCTATCCTAGTCCTCTGAGATGCTCCCTGAGTCCTGAGGTTGTGCTGCACATTTTAGTAATCCTGAGAGCAACTGTCAATTGCATATTCTGCAGTGATCTATATCTGCTGTAAAGATGCTTTGATGGAGTGCATCTTGATGGCTTTGTCCACCAATGCTCTCTCTTACCCTTTTCATGTTCCTACTGAATCTTTTCCTGACAAGTCCCCTCATAATCTCATACCCATCTGTAGGAGTCACTGAGTTTAAGTTTGGTTGCTTGCATAAACAAGTGAAATTTAATCAGTGACTACACCACTAAAGAAAGTGACACCCTTTCCCTGGTAGACACTAAATGCCAATTTGTCATGGATGAGGCAAAGGCTTGGGAGGCCACATACCTTCTAGCCTTAATGGCACTTTGTCCCATAGTCCAGAAATGCTTTAGGAAATAATTTCCTTATTAGAAACTTAGGGTTTTGTGATATAATTGCTGCCCTCTACAGTTTAGTATATTATTTATTAATATAATTAATGTGACTTAAAAGTTTTGCTTTTTACAAAATGAAAAATAAAAACCACATGATCATCTCATTAGATGCTGAAAAAGCTTTTGACAAAATACAACATCCCTTCATGATAACGGTCTTGGAGAGAGCAGGAATACAAAAAACATACCTAAACATAATAAAGGCAATATACAGCAAGCCAACAGCTAACATAAACTAAATGGAGAGAAACTCAGAAAAATCGCACTGAAATCAGGAACAAGACAAGGTTATCCATTTTTTCCATATCCATTTAATATAGCTATTGAGGTCATAGCTAGAGCAATAAGAAACAAAAGGAGATCAAGGGGGTACAAATCGGAAAAGAAGTCAAACTCTCATTATTTGCTGATATGATAGTTTACATAAGTGACCCCAAAAATTCTACCAAAGAACATCCACAATTCATAAACACTTTCAGTAGAGAAAAGGACTGGGAAAGAAATCAGAGAAACAACACCCTTCACAATAGCCACAAATAGCATAAAATATCTCGAAGAAACTCTAACCAAACAAGTGGAAGATTTGTATGAAAAGAACTTTATTTTTTTTTATTGAGAAAAAAAAAATTTCCGCCTCCTCCCAGCCTCCCACTCCTCCCCCCTCCCCCACTCCTCTCCCCTTCCCCCCACTCCTCTCCCCTCCATCTCAAGTCTGAAGAGCAGTCAGGGTTCCCTGCCCTGTGGAAAGTCCAAAGTCCTCCCCCCTCCATCCTGGTCTAGGAAGGTGAACATCCAAACTGGCTAGGCTCCCACAAAGCCAGAACATGAAGTAGGAGCAAAACCCAGTGCCATTGTCCTTGGCTTCTCATCAGCCCTCATAGTTCGCCATGTTCAGAGAGTCCAGTTTTATCCCATGTTTTTTCAGTCACAGTCCAGCTGGTCTTGGTGAGCTCTCAATAGATCAGCTCCACTGTCTCAGTGGGTGGGTGCACCCCTCGTGGTCCCGACTTCTTTGCTCATGTTCTCCCTCCTTCTGCTCCTCATTGGGACCTTGGGAGCTCAGTCCAGTGCTCCAGTGTGGGTCTTGTCTCTATCTCCATCCATCACCAGATGAAGGTTCTATGATGATATGCAAGATATTCATCAGTATTGCTATAGGCTAGGGTCATTTCCATTTTCCTATCCTCAGCTACCCAAGGAACTAACTGGGGACCTCGGCTTGGGCTTCTGGGAGCCACTCTAGGTTCAAGTCTCTTGCCAACTCTAAGGTGGCTGCCTTAACTAAGAATTGTGTTCCCGTGCTCCCCTATCCTACCTTCCTTTATCCCAATCTTCCTTTTTCCCCAAGTTTCCCCCATTCTCGTCTTCTCCCTTTTCTCTCCCCATCTCCCCTTACCCCCATCCCACCCCACCCCCAAGATCCCAATTTTCTCCCCGGCAATTTTGTCTACTTCCCATAGCAAAGAGGATAAATATATGTTTTTCCTTGGGTTCACCTTCTTACTTAGCTTCTTTAGGTTCACCAATTGTAGACTCCGTGACCCTTATTTATGGCTAGAAACCAATTATGAGTGAGTACATCCCATATTCATCTTTTTGGGTCTGGGGTACCTCACTCAGGATAGTGCTTTCTATTTCCATCCATTTGCATGCAAAATTCGAGAAGTCATTGTATTTTACCGCAGCGTAGTACTC